TGTTTTTCATAATGATAAAAAGGCTTCAAATATAGCTAAACATTGTTAGATGAAATACAGTCTAATCCGTTGTGTTACAGTGTCACTTATCATTATAGGGATAAGTTCATTAAGCCCTTATTGCCGTTATAACACAGAGTAACTGTTCTAAGTAAGTAAGTTCTTAAGCCAAGTATTTAGTATATTTAACATTTGCACTTGATAGACAAAAGGTCTTGTCAATAATCGTTCTAACAATCAGTTATTATCGTTGCGTTAGTAAATGCTTTTGGTTATACCTTCTGTTTTCGTTAACCGATATTTTTGTTGTCAATTTTAGCAACTACTACAACTATATTATATTCGCAAAGAATATGTAACCATTTGCAAATAAAATACGTTTTATTTTTTTTGAAATTCTCATTGTCATATTTGCAGTCAAACATCTCTAACGGCAGCACTCACTTCTCAATGAGAACTCCTAGTTTTAGTATATATCTGGAGAATAAAAATACCCAGACTTAAAGTTACACTTGTAGCCAAAGATTGTCACAAATATTCTCTTGTTTGGACCACTGGCTAGTTTCCAACAACCTACAGGATTTTGTTTTTTAAATGGATATTACTCCAGTAATAAAAATAGATCATGCAACAATTGGGCTTTCTTTATCCAACTCGTATGAAAGCGTTAAAGGTCCTGGCTTCTGGAAGATGAATGTATCTCCTCTTGATGATGAAAAGTATCTCAATGAATTAGAGAATAACTTTCCAAAATGGAAGACCACTGGCATAAATAATTTATTGAATAAGCGCTCTGTCTGGGATTGGCTGAAATACAACATCCAAAATTATGCCATTTCTTATTCTTCTTCTGCAAGAGAAGTAGATAATACTTTTGAAATTTAAGACACAATCACATGCCAGAGAAAACAGCCTGTAAAGAACAGTTTACATATTCAAAGAACCCTTCAGCCATTTCCCCATTACTTAAAGTAGTCAACAAATGGAAATGGGCAAAGGATAAAGGGCTGATCACTGCAGCCATGTTCTTAGACCTACAGAAGGCCTTCAATGTCATCGATCACTCATAATTACCTCAAAAACTCAAAGCAAATGGAATCTCCGGTGCTGAGCATGCATGTTTTTGTAGCTACCTTATCCAACAAAGAGCAGTCCAATGTAATAGGGTTAACTCAAATGAGAAAATTGTCACTGATGGAGTCCTCCATGGATCCATACTAGGCCCAACCCTTCTCTGTAAACATATCACCAGTATGGAGTCAACAACACCAGTAAGCTCCGTGCTTCTTTATGCTGACGACACTGAAACTCATCATTTAAGTCCTACCCTCCAAACTGCAATCCTCAAAATAAACTCTAACCTCCAGAATATCTCTACATAGCTGCTGAAAAACAACCTGATACTAAACACAAAGAAAACTGAAGCAATGATGGTAGAAAAGAATCTCTGGTTTGTTTTTAATTTAAAGATTGTAAACAACCAAAAGTGCCCTAAGCAGCTAGAAGGTTACCTAGCCAGTAGGGTTAACCTCCAAAACAGAAATCTACAGAACCAAGGCACTCTCAGAATACCACGATCTAAGACTTCTTTAGGAAGAAAGATTTTCCAAATTGCTGGTGCAAGTGACTGGAACTCACTCCCTAGCGAACTCATGAAAACAACTAGTGTAGGCTCTTTTAAATTTAATCTCTTTAAACAACTGAGAGACAGTGACATTACTAATCATAAATGTACAGTGTGACTACTTCGATTTTTAAATGTTTTTAATAGTTTTTAGCGGTTCTCAATATTTTAAATTAGTTTTTAGTAGTTCTTAAATTAACTGTTTTTAGTAGTCCTTAAATTAACTGTTTTTAGTAGTCCTGTCTTAGCAGTTTTTTGCATCTTTGAAATGAGTAATTTTGAATGATTATATTATAGATTTTATTTACTGGACATCTTGCTAAGACTGGGATTGTATATTGCTGATAGATATCCCCAGTATAACTAAAGCTATTATTACTATTATTATTATTATTATTATAAACCATCTGGGAAGTTAAGATTTACCAACAGTACTCAACAATAAGTCCTACCAATAGCAAATGCTATTTAAGATCATGCTAATGCTCTTTACAATAAAGCTCTGGAGGGATCACTGTTTAATTCTACCTTGAGTCCAACTCTTATGGAAAACGACCAAAGGAATAACCCAGGTTTAAGACCATCAAAGTTGGCCCATTAGGTGTTAACCTGCCCTGAAATTCTGCACTTTTGCATCCTTCCTTTACTTATGGAAATTTCAGATTGAAATACTTCAGTGAAACAAAATCTGTAGTATAGGGGTACAAAAGAAAGTATCTTAAAATCCTTCAGTCATACATTGACTCTTTCAAGACAAATTCTGCAATTAGATATATTGCATGTAGCCTTTACCTCACTTTCTAAGTTTTCCTTCTGTTGAAAGGGAGAAATGTTGACAGAAATGTCCTTTCAAACAAACTCCTTAATGACACCTAT